CATGTACATGTACCTTGTGCTAGTCTTACAAGACTCTCCAATAAACGTATTGTAGTTCTGGCAGCATTAAGAGTATCAGTTTGACGTTGAAGCTGATAATATCTGGATAAAACCCTGAAAGCATAAACGTAAAGCATAAATTGGGAAAATTAAATAATCCTTTGGGAAAAATTTTGTGCTATTTTACACGTATTTTTTGCAGTTCAAACATTATTATTATTAACTAAGCAAAATTCTGCTTTTAGCAATTAAGGTAAAATAACATTATTTATAGCAGTCCAAATTTCCCAATAATATGGTATTTTGACAGGTAAAATACTTGTTTGATAGACTACATTTGTACTAGTAACGTTACACAATATTGATGGTTCTTACTGGTTAGCTGGTTCAGTCATTATTGGTTTTAATGATTTCACTTAGCTTAGGCAAGACTTCAGTTGCTCAATGCTCCACAGGTTATTATCTAATGAAAATAAAGACAATTATACTTTAACATGTACATGACATGTCAGTGTACTATAACTACTATTACAGTTAATAATACAAACGAGACACCTACGGTGCATGGCCTCACCCCTATAGCTGCTATGGTGCATGCCCGCACTTCAATAACTGTTTGATTATCAGCATGAAGAGAGTCTGCTCAACACTAACTTCCTACAGTTGCACTTGCTCTTGAATACCTGCAGAAGTAGCAGCACTGCAGCACATATATGCAAGCAGCTCCAGCCCCTCCCATGCATGTCGATTGAAAGGTGTGGCATTCCATGAGTGGCAGCAAGAAGACCATGTGAGAAAGAAGCTTTACTTTTTCTTTACTAATCAGCAATATATGATAAACTTGCTGACAAAAAAAGTTGCTGCCTTTGTATATTTGAGATAGTATAGGTACTTTAGTACCTATAACCCAGCAAGTTGTTGCTCTAGCGCTGCACAAACGAGTGACCTCAACAATTTCAAGTAAGTATAACTCTTCATCAAGTAAGATTTAGAGAAATCTGTTCATAATTTTTGAAGGCCATGTTCTAATCTACTGAAAAATGCTACCAGCTATCTCTAAAGTGCCAACACAACGGAACTTGGCCCAACTACTCGATTTTCTTACTTTGAAGCTTCTGTACCTAGCACTTGTATTTGAGCAACACAAAACAGTTAAGAAAGACTTTTCCACGTCAAAAAGAAAGATCTAGGAGCTTAGAACACGCTGTGCTAAAGTTATTGTTTATTAAAAACAAATTTCAGTTGTACAGAATGAATGAATGAATGAATGACAGACACACACAACAACTACCT